ACAGCTAAATCGCTTTGCAATGTCAGTGAGAACCGTCGGCGATGCTGTGCGAGTTGAGACTGTATCTGAAGGCTGTGACTACCTCGGCGAGGTGTTATACTGTACATATACAGATCAGGTGAATAACACAAGTCCTCTTGACCCCCGTGTGGCGCATTTGTTAAGACACGTTCTGTCGTGAAATATCTTGGGCTCTTAAACTTGAAATTAGCTACTTGCCGAGCTTATTCCTGTATCACGATGATGTGTTGTTCGCAAATTTAATCTACAAAAACAAAACCCACGATGGTAACCAATTTTGTGGCATAAATTACGAACTTGAAATCGGTATAGCAATTCTGAATATCGCATTGACTTTTTAGTTCACCTAAAGATATATATCATATACATTTGCATGTTCGGTATCGAATCTATTCAACTACACATCGGTAGTGGGAGAGAGTATGTGCTTTTGAGAACAAATACGTACAGATCAATTCAAACAACTTACATGAGCTAGATCACAATGTGCAGTAGCCAAGACCAAATCATACAGATCAACCGATACTCATCATACACTCGTTTGTTGCGTTTATCATTTGTTCAAAGTTTAACATTGACTCTGTAGTGCACCCCACTGAGTAATTGTGCGACCCCGCTCAGACAAGGTCACGCTTAAATTTCGATTTAAAGCTTTCGTGACTGCAGGGATTCATCTTCTTGGTTCTTTCGGTAAAGTCACGTAGAAGGGAAGTAATAAAATAATAAAAATAAAACATAATAAAATAAGATTATTTGATAATAATATTATTTTACCGAAAGAACCAAGAAGAAGGTCACGCTCCACAGAGTCGAGTCCTGCGAACCCGGTGCCGTCTGCTCTGCATAGCCAATTGTCACCCAACCCTCCCCCCCGGTCGTGGCGGAATGGGGCAGCCAAGGCGAGATCTGGCGGCCCCCACCCAACCCCCTCGCACTCGTGACGCGCCCGTGACGAGTTGAAAGCCACGCGACGACTTCTCATCCCAATTTTGGACTCGCGCCTCTCCACCGTTCATCAGAAATTGTTTCCTCGCATAGCCCAGGCCCTTGTGTGTGTGTGTGGGGGGGGGGGGGTGGCCCTGTCTCCTGTTCTACCGTGGGACGCAATGTCCCTTTGATGGGGTTGGCAAAGCCTTGGCAAGACCCCCCCCCCCCCCATACCTCAATGTCCGATCCCCCGGAGTGAACGCGTTGCTCCGATAAAGAGGCTCTTCGTGTGCCCCTAAACAGCCCCTGAGCGCGCTACCACTTTTATTTTTTTGCAGGATTGGCATCTTTTAATTGGTTTGTGGTAAGCCTGGAGATCTGGTTTCAGGACTCTCTGTAGGTGAACGAGTAAGGATGTGAGTTTTAATGGCATCGCCAGGAGCCGCGGGTGTGTGTGTCTGCGCGTTTGTGCGTTATACAAGACTGTGTTTATGTTCAGCGCTTTGTCAATCCGCTGCTAGGTGAAGGCCTCCTCATTCCGTGACGGTCATTGGTAGGGTTGCCACGTCGCAGGCGCAAAAGAGCCATGTCGTGATAAGGTGAATATCTCACAATACCAGTAAAGAGGGGAACGACACGTCAACTGACAAAAACCGGAACTTTTCATTTTGAATGATGCGGGAAGACTTACAGATTCACCAGGTTAGCTACCTCAAGAAGAGCACAATCCTGGAAAAACCGGGACAGGTGGCAACCCTCGTCATGGGGATCATTCAGCCATACTTCACCAAACTTGTCAGTGCGGGTTGATAAATTGGAGAGCAAAACCGGGACGGGTCCAGGTATCGCTCGCCACTAACGTGTGCAGAGTTGAAGTCTGATCGCTGGGTTTCGTATGCAGTGCGATAACCACTTACGCCACCACTCCCTGCCACAACTGTTTCGCCAGATTTTTCACTGATTGTGCGTACCCTCTCGTTGGAGTGGTGGCATTCCACACAAGTGAAACCAGCTGCCCGAGGTTCGAATCTCAACCCACGGCAAACAATCGGTGGCGAGTTATATCTGTACCGATCCTTGGAACTCCCCGCTTATCTTCTTGGTTCTTTCGGTAAAGTCACGTAGAAGGGAAGTAATAAAATAATAAAAATTAAACGTAATAAAATAATAAATTATTTTATAATAAATAAAATAATAAATAACTTTTTTTTATAAAAATGAAACATAAAATAATAATGAAAATTATAATAAGTAAAAAAATGCATTATATTAGTATGTTTTTTTAAATTATTTTATTACTTCCCTTCTACGTGACTTTACCGAAAGAACCGAGAAGATGAATCCCTGCCAGTCACGAAAGCTTTAAATCGAAACCCCCCGCTTACTTCACCAACTAACACTACTCAGCGTGGTGAAGTATGGTCGAGAATAGGAAGGGCTTTCACGCGGCAAGCATTGACAAAATGAATAGAAATTCGCTTCACTCTTTTGTTGGGCATGAATTACGGTTGTTGGCAGCAAATTGCCGATAATACACAGAGCCAGAGCCTAATATGGGTTTTTATAGACTAAAAAATAACTCACCGTCTAGTTTGTGAAAATATTGTTACATTTTATCTGTCTCTCTCTATATATAAAAAAGTTCATCTAAAGCAGCACAGACAGTTCGTTTAAGACGTGAGCACATCGCACCCAAGGGTCGTCACGCTTCATTCTTCACGACCCGCATGAACAATGCAAGGGGGGTGACTCACAGCTGATTGGCCGCAGCGATACCGAGTCTGCGTGCACTGCTGCCACTGACGTTTCAAAGCCGCAAATGTGGTTTCGCGATCCCATATATTGAGTTACACGTGCTGGGAGAGGATTTCTGAGAAAGGGATTTACACAATTTCTGGGTTCCCACGTCCATCGAGCGGTTGCTTGATCGGGCTGCGTTGCGACGTGACAGCGTTCTTCGGATGTAAACGCGAATGCTCTTTATTTCGTGATCCGTGGGTTTGTTTGTCGTTGTAAACATTCGTTTGTGTACAGTTGTCGATCAAATGTTTCGAGTTTTCAACAAGCCAATGTCTTAATCCCAAGGCACTTATTATTACGATGATGACTATGACCCCCTGCTGGAGAGAAGCGGCGAGCGATTCGAATCGTCGACGGCCCCTTTGCACGCGCGACGCGCAACATTCCAAAATAATTTAAAGGCGACCGATTGCTCGCGTGCGATTGAAAAGCCGACTGCATACTGCCCATACCACGACGCGCCGTATGCACCCCTACCCTCCCCTCCCCCCGTCTCCCACCATCGCATGCGGTTAAATATAGGTCGCTTTTTACGGGATTGCGTGCGCAAGTGCGTGGAGTAGAATTTCGTTGTTGTTGTGCATGCTGTCGAGGAGGCAGACGTTTACCTTGAGGATGGATGCGTCGAAGAAATCGTTGGATGACACCCCCCCCACCTCATCACGACTGACTCATTGCTACTTAGTGCGCGTAATGCGGAGGGGGGCGGGGGGCGAGGTTTGACGTGGAATGTTCCACATTTAAATGGACGGGAAGAGGGGGGAATTCGAAAACGTGCGTTGTGCCACGCGAAATATTGGCCTGTGACGGGGCGTGCGGGCAGCATGTATGGATGAAGATGTGCAATAAATGTTTTCTATATGCGGATTAACATTGAAAACAAACAAACAAAAAACCCTACACTTTCTCGTGAGTTATTCTTCTTGTTTGATTTCCCAAGAACTCGTAAGTGTCTTTGCTTCTTTTACATTCCTCTTCTGTTAAATAAAATCCAGCTGCCATTTAACTTGCGTAGCATGCGCCACATGTAATGCGATAACAATTCAAACTAAAACAACATGGGGCTATGCACAGTCGCCTTTTGTTTCGCCACCAGACGCTCATTGCCAAAGTCCCAACGGCGCACGCCCAAACGCATTGACCGCGGGGTGGGGCTTGTATCGCGTTCAACGCATGCGGCGATGGCGTTTTGTTGAATCGGGAATGATAAACATCAGCGAGGCTCAATGCACTGATGGATAAAGGCCCTCCCTCTCGTCTGCTTAGCGCCACTGGCCCCCAAGCCCTCGTGGAACGGCAGCGGCTGTTGTGCCATCTTTTCATCACCTGCCTTGGTGAAGTCTACTCCGATGCTGTCCTCTATGTCTGCAATTGCATCTGTCAGTGTGACTATTTATTAGGTCTTCTTGGTTCTTTCGGTAAAGTCACGTAGAAGGGAAATGATAAAGTAATAAAAATAAAACGTAATAAAATACAATTCTCACGACGTTTCGGCCACAACGCAAGCAGCCGTCTTCAGGTGAAGAACAGGTCTGTGGGAGAGACAGCGTCTGAATGAACACCACCAAGCTTGGCAGCGTATATTTAAGCTGGGTTAGAGGAGGAAGAATATTTATTAGGTATTTTTTTTTTGCGATGTGCCCTGCCCAAGTCCACATGTTTGAGTGTTGTTTTTCGCTCTCTCTCTCTCTCTATAAAAGTCATTGTGATGTCGCAGATGATTGTTTGTTCCGCGCCAGTAGCAGCAGCTGCAGCAGCTGTAGCCGCAGCCACGTGTCGCTGTTCTTCGCTTCAATGTCGGCGGTCACCGTGTGCGTCTTCCTGGTCACCGAGCGTGCCGCCGCGTTTGCAGTGGTCGGGCCCAGGTTTGCGATGGGACTGCTGAGTTACACTTCCTCGTGGAGTCTCTTAGTCGATTTATTTTGTCAGTGGACACGATGGAGTGTTTATCTTCATCGTAAAAAAAATATTTTGGGTTTTACGGGAGAGCTCTATCTGTGGTGCTTTTGGTGCTGCTCTTTGGTTCAGCGTGCGGTCGTATCAAACCGTCATCCCCAGACACACATGTTGCGTCCACATTCGCTTCAGTTTCATAATGCCGTGCACTCTCTCAGAACGGATGCAATGCGGGTAATATTCACGTCCGGCCATAGCCGTGGCAACCGTATGCGATAGAAAGATGGCAATCAAAAAAACTGACGGGGAAAAATGTATGGGAAGTGTGATACGACCGGTGTTGTTATTGTGTGCAGTGACATGGGCACTATGGAAAGAGAGACTGAAGACGAACACTCGAAAATCTGAGGTGAGAATGCCGAGGTGGATGTTCGGAATGTCGCTCAAGGGAGAGGAGGCGTAATTCAGTTATCAGAGCATTTGCGGAGTTACTCATCTTTTCAAGAAGGCATGGAAGGTGAGACTTAAACCGTAAACTATTTTTTTTATTTTACCAGGTAAGGCCCACTGAGCTTCGTAGCTCTTTTACAGAAGCGACCTGGCCACGCATGATGGCACAACGAAGTGGCTGATCACGTGGGAATTTATAGCAGCCAAATACTCTAAACGCGTGTTGATTCTAAACGTGGAGGGGAAAACCGAAGGACCCAGAGGAAAATCTGCACGACCATGGGAGACATGCAAGCTCCAAATATACAGCAGGTGTCAGGGTCGGGATCGAGCCCACGACCTCCCGCATACCAAGAGAGGAACATCTTGCCACCATGGGGCCCGACGTAGATGGTTTGAGCACGTGTTGAGCAGAGACGATGAAGATGCAATTACAGGGGGTATGGAGATTAAAGATGCATAGACTAGCACGGAGACCGCACCTCCGATTAGCAGTGTTGGCTGTGTACGCCGCTCAAGAAGTTCAACATGCATACACACACAGAGACCAAATAGAATCTAGATTTGAAGTTTTTGTGACAGCAGGAATACATACGCTTTGGTTCTTTCGGTAAAGTCACGTAGGTATAAAATAAATTATAAATTATAAAATAAATTAGACCGCACCTCCAAATAGCCTCGCGCAGAGACATTTTTTTTCTTCGTGTTTTTTTCTCTCTCCACATTTAGAATCAACATCATGAGCGTATTTGGCTGCTATACATCCCCACGTGATAATCCACTTGGTTGAGTTACCATTTGTGATCGCGATATAGCTCAGTGGGCCTTACCTGGTTTAAAACAAATCGATCGCATCTTGACTCATTCTGCTTATCATTAAGATGTGTTTAAAGATTGTTTCACATTGATTATGTGGTGCCCCCTCCCCTTCCCCCCGAGTCTCTAGATACGCCCCTTAAAAGGTCAAGCAATGGGGTTGCAACAAAATACACAAAGAGTAGTGGCAGGTCCCGGGGGACGGGGGAGGGGAGGGGGCGCCCCCCCCCCCCCCTTCGAGACCCCCTAAATCTGTATTTTATTGATTGGATGTTGTTGTTGCAAATGATTAATATCGGGCCCCTAGTTTCAATTTTTTTCTAAATTCCGGGACATATACGCCACCCCCGCCCCCCACCGCCCCCCACCGCCCCCCCCCCAACCGCTCTTGACAAATGTCTCAACCCGCCTCTGAAGAAAGAACGTCGAGATGTCGGAGCATGCCGGCCACGCCGTGACGCATCGTGAACCCTCTCCGCAGGTGTGCTCTGAGCGTGTTCGTGAGCCACACAGCCCAGGTGCGCGCTCCCCCCTCCATCTCGCCCCCCCCCTCTCACTCTCTCACTCTCTCTCGTGAGTTGTCGCCGTCCGTATCTTATAACTTTCCATCGCGCTGTTTGCACGGCGAGAGGCTATATCCAGCATTCGGTGGCGGGCGAGCGGGGGGGGGGGGATGAGTGTGGGTGGTTGGTTGGCACCTGTTGTGCTCCATCCCTAACTTGCCTCGTGTACAGCGATATCCATTGCAATGATGTTACGAGAATTGTAAATTACTTTTACGAGGTGCAGTTTTACGCGCGCGCACAAGACAAAGATCCCCCGTATAGCCTGTAACAGCGCTACGAGCGTGCACCTGTGAAGGCCGGCACGGCACACGAGGGGGTGGGTGGCCAACACCACGCCCGGCCGCCTTGGTCTCGCTAGTGCGGTGATGTTTACACACCGCACTAGGGAGTAATTTTGAGGCTGAGTCGACCTCGGAGAGGCCCAGGACCGGTTCAGATAATCGTCACTGGTGTTGGCCGTGAACGGGAATCGAACCCGGGTGGTCGGGTTTGTAGTGCAGCGTAGCGCTAACCACTGCACTACCGCACACACACACAGAGCAATCCACTCCTGTACATCATTTGTCGTTATACGAATTTTACTTTGCACCAGTGCTGCTGTTAGTGAGCATCTATTAAGGCCACCGTGACACGCCTAGGGGGTGGTGTGGGCAGCGAGACGGGCAGGTATCGTTGTTTATCTGTTCTCAGGGACATGATCAAGACTCTCCTTTGACACTTCGATTTCGCACGGTGTGGCTACGTGCGGTGCGATAGAAGTTCAACGTGCAAAGGCCAAGGTGCTGCCCTGCGATTTCTTGCTCACGCCACTGCTGGGAGAAGGGCCTCCACTCGGAGTTCTAGAGCGCTCCTCCAGAGGGCGTTTGGCCTACTCTTCCACGCTGGCGGGATGTCTTGGCTAAGAGGTGGGGGTACCCACGCTTTACCCCGCCATACGCGACCATGCCCGTCGACTCACTGCGGTGTGTGAGACACGTGAGTTCGAGACGAGTCCTCCGTTGTTTCGACCTCTGCGCTTGGGAGATCGCACCAGGGACCTCTGAATTGCAAGTTCAGTGCGCTGGCCGTCATACCACTGGTTTCGAACAACACACACACGGTTTCAAACAACAGATACACACGGTTACAAACAACACACACACGTGTGTACGAACAACACACACGCGCGTGTACAAACAGCACACACACGGTTACAAACAACACACACACACGTGTGTACAAACAACACACACGCGTACAAACAACAGACACACACGGTTACAAACAACACACACACACGTGTGTACGAACAACACACACACACACGTGTACAAACAACACACACACACGCGTGTACAAACAACACACACGCGTGGACAAAGCGCACGGCTTCTGAGCATCATGCAACAATCATCCTGAACAAGTGCACCGTTGTCCTCTTGACTTAGGTCACGATTTAATCAGTAGGGGCCGGTCAGAAATTTACAACAAACGATACAAAACACGACGGGAGTACAAAGTATAGGAAACGTAACCAAATCACTAAAACAATAAAACTAAAACTAAATTATTGTTTATGTTACCAGGTAAGGCCCCACTGAGTTGTGTAGCTTCTTTTTCAGAAGCGACGTGACCACAAACGATAGCTCAACGAAGTGGCTTATCACGTGGACATTTGAGCAAATGTGGCCGACTAGATAGGCAGCAGCGATGCAGAGAAAGACGGCCGTGGTCTGGTTTCTGCTTGTTAGGACTCATCATCACAATATAGACCCCAATGCTCACTCTGGCACAGTTCGCCTCGAGACGACCAAATATGTGGGGTGCCCTGCAATGGGATTCCGTTATCATTTACACGTGTGATCATTAGACCACGGCAGCATCCATCACCCTTGACATTTCATTTATCTAATGTTTCTTTCCCACGCAACCTTTGCGATCTTCCCTCCCTGCCCCACCACCACCACAGACCATTGTACGTCGTCTTCATGCCGTGTAAGTCCAGTAGTGGCATTACGCACCCTTTTACAATGTGCTGACGACTTTCGGCCTGCCGCAGCTGTTATGCCGCCTCTGCCAGATCTCTGCTGCGTGTAATCTTGCTGCCGTTACCGCTTGGATGCACACAGCCTTATGTCATGAAGACAAAACACCCACTCAGGATTTAAGTGTGAGCATTTATACGATTTATTTCGATATGTTACATATTAGGCGCGGGACGAGATTTGCCAAGGGTATTTGCTTCTGTGTATCTGTTTAAACAAAAAAAGTATTTAAAATAATTTCCCCAAATTTTCCAAGTTGTCTTTCAGTCTACATATGGGAGAGTGAACGATTAAGCGTATTTACATTATATAACATGTTTGCACATGCATACAACTGTACATAATGTACTGTCCTCCACCATCCACCTACAACTGCCACGACTAATCCAATGTGAGGAGGCCGTCATCCAACAGTGGATTTACAAAAATGTTTGAAATGTTTCGACTGCCCGTTTGGAACAGTGACAGAGTGCGAGGTTCACACGTGGAAGATTGAGAGTTCAAAGTTCAGTCACGTGTTGTGACCGGCCTATTATCCTTCTCGGGTAAGTAAAACCAGTACCACTTTGTGGATGAAGTCAACATCATGGCAATGTGGATGTTTCACCAATAAATGGGGCTTCGAAACTCGGGATAATTGCCACGACACATCCAGTTGAGCGGGGGATACACCGTTCATTATTTTAAAATCCTTTATATTAAGTTCGCTTGCTTGCTTGCTTGCGTGCTTGCGTGCTTGCTTGCTTGCTTACGACCGTGCAAATCTTTCGGTCGTTTTTTAACCCACTTCCCATGATCCAAGCGAGCTGACATTTTGCACACAGACTCGTTGTGCGAGACAATTAATGTTCGTGAAAATTCTTTTCCAAAATTTTACACTGTTTAGGGAAAACAAATTAAATATTTAATTACCAATTGCTTAATACTGGCAGACAATCATCTGACCCACAGGTGGCAGCCATCTCAAGCCAGAGGACGAGAGGACTCTAGCCGCCACGCATATAAAGGATTTATAGTGAAAAACTTTGTTTTTACGGATTATACTTATTATGATTCGCTGTTGAGGTAAAGGTACAACTCTAGATTTTAAGCTTTCGTGACTGCAAGGATTCATACTCTTAGGTTTTTTCGGTAAAGTCACGTGACTTTACCGAAAACACCTAAGAGTATGTAAATGTACAGCCCTGAAATGATTTGCTCATGCCACCGATGGGAGCTCTAGAGAGCCGATTTAGCCTACTCTTCTAGGCTGGCCAGACGACTTAAGTAATGGGAGTGCTCACTTTCCTACATGTGAAAGGGCTTCACCAAGTTGAGATTGTCGCCTACATATATTCTTTACTTTAACCACTCTCATATAAAAGCCACAGCAGCTACGGCCTCAGCATCAGAAGACCTCTTGACCACGCTGAACTCCGTCCGAATCTATTCCCAAGAAGTTCCACCACCCTCGGTTAATTCCCAATGATCCAATTCACCCATCAACTGCCCGTACACCTGCTGGCCATTATGTATGTGGGTGCAGACCCCCCCGCCCCAGCCCCATCATTACCCACTTTTTTTAATATTACATCTCAAATGCATGCAACCTAATGAAACTAAAACTAAAGAGTTTTTATTTATTTATCAGCTTTGGCCCATTGATCTATATAGCTCTTTTTCAGAATTGACCGAGCCACAAATGACAGCTCAACGAAGTGATTTTTTTTTATCACGTGGAAATGTATAGCAGCCAAATCCTCTAAACGCACGTTTATTCTAAACGTGGAGAGGAAAACCGGAGGCCGCGGAGAAAAATCCACTCCACTACCATATTGTCATTATTCTGGACATCGGATTTCTGCAGTATAAATAAAGATTCTGATTCTTACTCCAGGCCATCATTCATTCTAGCCATAACGCTTTCTGCCGAAGCCCCACTAACTTTTCTTAGTAGTTTTAATTATTGTTTTTAACCCGTGTACTCTAATCCACGTGTTCCCCTGTCTCAGCGTAATGCACTGCATTACAATGACGTTGCAATTGCACGCGCTACGAATCCCAATTGTCGTGCGCTGCATTCCAAGAGGGCAAAACTCCACACGGCAGCGTTCTCCTGTGACCCCCCCCCCCCGCACACACACACACAAGCAGCAAGGAGGAATCTCGACCACAATCACGGCCACAACGACCACGTCGGGTCGGGCGGGGGTCTTCGCCTTTCACCGGACGAGCTCAATGACGCAGCAAGGGCGAGCCCTTCATCGTCTTCTTCGTCTCCTTCCTTGCGCATTGCTGCTCCGCACTTGTGTGGCGCGCGAGTGGGTCCTGTCGGGGTTCCTTCGACGGCGCGAGGAGCAACGCAAAATGCGCGCGGAGGGACGCGGAATGGAAACTTCGCACGTGTTGGATGATGCTGCGTGCCTCTGTTGCACTTTCTGCCGCGCCATCGTTTGCTTCTGCTCGCCGGTGATTCTCCATGGACTCCTCAAGTGTCGCATTCTTTCTTTCTGTGTTGACGCGGGTTGTCGTAGTGTGCTCCGGGCGACGAATGATACCAACCGTGGTCAGCTTCGTCGTCGCTATTTGTGGTGCGTGCGTCGACGCGTCATTGATGTCAGAGCGCGTCTCTGATGAGTCACGGGATTAATATAAAACGAGCTCATTCATGAATTCACAGCGTTAGTCGTACAAGAGGCAGATGGCGTCTTAATTGAGATGCGATGTATGTTCAGCAAAAAAAAAACGTTTGCCAAAAAGCGTTGCCGAAGCAAGCGTTGAGTCCCCCCCCCCGCCTGGCGCCCTCCGTGGTTGCAGAAAACAAACAAAAAACAAGCACACGGTTTCAAATTCTCTCAAAACAAACACTGCAATAACGACGATGCAGTTTATTTACTGGTCTAATTACACGGAGGGTGGAACGCAACCACGTCAGGAGCGCAAGTGACCGCACGCAATTCTTTTTTTTTACCGGACGATTTACTCACATTACGAACGTTCCAAGAGACGTCCATCCAACAGTTGCTCCTATTACAATAATCCCTCGGAATTAAATGATCCCCATCACTGTGTGCTCAAGGAGCTGCAGGGGACTTACCCCCGATACCAAGGTCTGAGTCGCAGTGCGCCTGATCCTGTCAGATCTCAGAAGATGCGGCATCGTGCATAACAGGTGTTAGAGGCTTGCGCGGCTACGTGGTGGGGAGCAGAGGGCTGTGCAGAAAAAAATATTGTCGACCAGGCTTCTGTGCTGTCGTGTACTGACCAGCGCGGTGAAGTATGGTCAATCCCCCCCTTCACCCCTCCTCACCCACGATCTGCACGATGTAAAGAGGCCCTCATTGAGCAGTGAATTGACAAAGGGCTGCACATGTTTTCGCAATTTATAATACCGAATACATATAGACGAGCGTTCTCAAAGACTGATTCCCATCCATGTCGGGGGCAATTTCACAGAGTGACTCTTTTATGTAGAAAGGAAAAATAACCCCAGGGCAAATAAAACATGCTGGCAAGCCACCCCATCAAGGGAGCCTCTGTTTTGTTTGGATGTATGACTGTACACAGAAACCTGGTCACTGAAATACGCAGACACACACACACAAAAACAGACTCGCTTTTTTGGCTCGCACGTCAATCACACTCACGACAACATGAGAGTGCATTCAGTTTTCAATTAAAACATTTCTTTTTTTTAAAGTATATATTTCATTTCCAATCTTGTTAAAAACTAAAACGGCACGGGTCTCGGCATTGCCTGGGGTAAGCTGTGGGATACATTTCAGAGCGACTTTTTTGGTATTTTTAATGGAATTATGCGCTGTCTGTTGATTGACGGACACGTGGATACAATACGGTATTTCCTAGGCATAAAAACAAGTAGCCTGTTGACTCCCTATTCAAAAAAGAAGTGAGATTAATGTTTTTCAAGGCAGCTGGGTGTTCTCAGTGGCACTGTTCTTAAATGGTTTCCTTAAAGTCCGCAGAAGCAATGGCAAAAAAAAAGAAAACCAGCTGGTCCTCTCTCTCGAGCCGGCGTTAATCCTGCCACTTGTGGGTCTCGAAGAGAGGGGCTACACTTTGTGTAAGAGCTGCTCATTGTGCTGTCGCACTCTGGTCGAATTGATGCGTTGTCAACCACAAGCGATGTTCGCTCATACGGGTACTTTTTTTTCATCACCGGTGTTGTTCTGTACTTGTACACATAAACGTTTTGTCAATCCACCGCTTGAAGAGTGCCTCCCGGCAGTGTGGAGGTTGTGTGCGGAGTAATTGACTATCGTTCGCCAGTCTGGTCAGTGTAGGTATGTATGGGGCGCTGCGGTGGAGAGATGTTAACTCCATCGCCTCTTATGCAAGAGGTCGTGGGTTCGATCACGACCCTGACGATCCCTGTATATTTCGATTTAAAGCTTTCGTGACTGCAGGGATTCATCTTGGTTCTTTCGGTAAAGTCACGACAGACCTGTTCTACACCTGAGGACGGCTGCTTGCGTTGTGGCCGAAACGTCGTGAGAATTATTTTATTATGTTTTATTTTTATTATTTTATTACTTCCCTTCTACGTGACTTTACCGAAAGAACCAAGAAGATGATTCCTGTATATTTGGAGTTTGCGTGTTCTCACCATGGTCGCGAGAATTGAAGTACACAATGGATATTCATATTCTTGGTTCTTTCGGTAAAGTCACGTAGAAGGAAAATAATAAAATAATATTTATATAAAAAATAAACATTGTGAGAATTTTTATTGTTTTATATTAATATTCTTTTATTATTTCCCTTCTACGTGACTTTACCGAAAGAACCAAGAATATGAATCCCTGCAGTCACGAAAGCTTTAAATTAAGATTTTACACAATGGATGTTTTTGCACTGCCCTCTGCTGCCCACCACGTGATCCATGAGCCCCATCACATCCTGTGGTTGTCATGGTGGTCGACCAAATACCATCCATTCGCATGCTCAACCCTGTATAGCGATCCAATGGGGTGGCCATCGGCTTCTGTTTGTGCAATATGTATCACACTACATCATCATCATAACCCATCATTATGTAAATCGTCATCATCATAATTACATTAACCAAATATGTATATAAAGTACTGCGTAAACAAGAGCCAAGCGTGCACACAGTGGTTAGCGCGCTGCACCATGAACACGTCGACCTGAATCACATTCCCCGCCCAGCACGAACATCAGTGGCGAGCGATATCTAAACCGGACCTGTCTCTCTCTAGCCCCTTAGCCAATCCCCCATTGACCAGCGTGACGTATGGTCAAACAACTCCCTTTGACCGGCACGATGTGAAGAGGCCTTCATCCAGCAATGGATTGACGAAGGGCTGTTAATTATTGTCACAAGCGAGACGTGATGACCTTTGTAAACAGGTGCGAGGCCATGGAGACAACGTTCCTCTTTCATAGGGAGACTTGGATCAAAATTAATATAGGATCTCAAAAAAGGAAGGGCAACTTCAATGAACAATGAATGTAATGCAATTTCCAAATAAGGAAAGGGCTTAGCAAGTAATAAAATATATTTATAGTGGAGAAATAAAAATGCAAAAAATAGTGAGCAAAACCAAAAAAGCCTCCTAACAATTTCCTTCATCATCATGTCCTACTAAGGAATGTAAAAGCTTATAAAAAAAACAACGACTGGGTCATCAACATCATCGCCATCATTAACGTGAGAACCCATTGAGGCGAAATGTGATCTACATTGCATTTTCCCCCCCAAAAATACAATATCAACTGAGACCCATTTCTTACAGGAAGTGTCCATGGTTTTAAGCAACTCGCCAGCATTGGTTCAAGCAAGCTTGACTCTGCTGATGAAACACTGTATGTCAAAACCTGCCCCAAAGTATACCTTGTGTTGAACCAATACTGCTAATAAGGTGCACTCCCAGAAGGCCATATGTATGGCCGATGGGTTGTATAAAAAACTATTTGCGTTTTTATTTTAACGTATAGAGACAAATATGGGAAAGAGGATTTTTTAAAGTATCATCTTTAACAAGTAAATATTTATTCTAGATATATATCATATTTGCTCCCTCCTTCCCCCCCACCCTTCCTATCCTTGGCTCCGCCCCCCTCCCTCATCTAAATAATCCCCTGTTACCAGCAGCTCTTTTGCCTAGTTCAGCAACTGCTTTTTGCTGTGGTTGTCCCACCTGACGGCAGACGCTTGTGTTGTGTCCGAAACGTCGTGATTTAATTTATTTTATTTTCTTTACCTACATGACTTTACCGAAAGAACCAAAGAGTATAGTATTCAGGCTGTGTAGGACTTTTATCAGAAAACCTTCCAGTATCCCAGACATACACTACAATGCTCATTGTTTAAAAAAATAACATGTTATTTTACTATTTCACCAATTGTTGTATATGCCTATTATGCTATTCTTTCGTATAATGGGGAAAGCTTACAATGGGACATCCAGATCAGGCATCCAGTCGATGTGTTCTTTCCGAGATGCAAAATTGTGAAACGCAGTGCCCGCCGCAACACATCTCGGTGCAGGGCCGGTTGACGCGAAACGTTCCATGGTCTTGGGACACGTGGCCACAGTCGCACTTGGGGTCATCCCGCACCGTCCACTCGCGAAGCTTGTGGCCCGTGTCCCGTGCGGGTTCAGTTTGAGTGCCGCCCGCCATCCTCGAAGGAGGTCAAAGCCAGGCACCCTTTGCTGTCGGCTCGACTGATGAGCCGCTGGTTCTTCACGTTGCAAGCGTCCCATGATTGCGTCCCGTCTGGAGCGGTGTTCTTCATTGCAAGGCCCGCGGGCTACCCGTGGCGCCTGGTGGCATTTAGCGCGACCTCCGACAATACACAACACGTGACAACAACCCCCATCATTATCTTCGTCGTGCTGCTGTCAAACCCACAATGGGTTCAAATGTGTGGCGGCAACCACACTGATGATGTCTTTTCGGCGAAAGCGAAGAACGCTGATTAGGACAGTGGCTAGGTGACGGCTACATTGGAGGTTGGCTGCTGTCTACCAGAATGGCCGGCCGGGGTGATTTTTAAGCACTTTCATCGCTGGATGTTCAGATGTTGCTATTGACATAATTTATGAGCTCCGCAGCTGCCATTGAACAGCCCTGGAAGAAATTCATTCAATGTGTCTCTTGTGTCCACACTGTGACGCCTTGATCGATTCGGGTTCAGTTCAATTACAGTGAGTACAAATAGAAATATAACGATGGGTGTTTTTGTACAGTCATTGGTGACCATCAGCTGTCACAAGACTTTGAGACGTCGGTTTCATCACGAAAGGCCGGCTACACCCGGATTTCGACCCAGGAATTCAGAGGCGCTGACTTGGCACTTTAGCCCGTGCTGCCCGGCTACTTCTGGTGCAATGTGCATCGTCGTCGTCGTCGTCACTCGCGGACATTTCTTGAACCCAGACACATTGCTCACTCGAGTCGCAGCACTTCTTCAACGGATTTACATGACATGAAAGCGAGGGTGGCTTTTTTATTTTTCCACCACCCGCCCCGTCTCCACCCCCACCCCCCCTCTGGCGCAATGGAACAAAGTTATGGATTTGTGTGAAGAAGGGGGGAGAAGGACAACACACACACGCGCGCGCGTGCACGCACGTACACAATACAGAGTTTGGCTGCGGAGTGGCTCTCAGATGACCGCGTTCAGAGAGCGCGCCGGCCCCGCGCGGCGAGCCACTGCACACGAGTGGGTGCAGCTGCAGGTCATTCACGCCGCGCATGGCACGGGCTACACGAGAGGCGCCCGGGCACTGTGACGTGCGGGCGGTCGTCACAACCACCACCACAACCACAGCTACCACAACCACCACCACAACCACCACCACAACCACCACCACGCGCCACCACCACTCGCGACCACCACAACCACCACAACTACCACCACAACCACCACAACTACCACCACAACCACCACCACAACCACAACTACCACCACCACAACAACCACTACCACCACAACCACAAGCACCACCACCACAACCACTATCACCGCCACCACAACCACCACATCTACCACCACCACAACAACCACCACCACCACCACAACCACCACCACAACCACCACAACAACAACAAAACCACCATCACAACCACAACAACCACCACCATCACCACCACAACAACCACAACAACAACAACAAAACCACCATCGCAACCACAACAACCACAACCACCACCATCATCCACTACCCACCACCACCCACCACCAGCCTGTAACAGACTGTTTGGGGCAAGTGCTGTTAGCGAGTAGCATCTATGAAGGTCGGAACGGCACACAAAGGGGGGGAAGCCGGCACCACGCCCGACCGCCTTTGTCTCCGCAGTGGCGATGTTTTTACACACCGCACTATCTACTCATTTGAGGCTGAGTCAACCTAGGTGTAGGCTCGGGACCGGTTCAGATAATCGCCACCACCGGTGTTGGCCATGAGCGGGAATCGAACTCGAGTTCGGCCGGCTCCGTAGCGCAGCGTGGTGCCGACCGCTGCGCCACCGCTCCTCCCACGACCACCGACCGCAGTGACCTGTGCATGGCAACCACGACTGCACCGCCTCCCCTTCTACCCCTGGTCACTTTATCGTCGGCAACAGCTCAACGTGTGGTCTTGCAAATGCCTTGCTTACACCACTGCTTGCGAGAGGGCCCTCCGCTGGAGAGGGAGACATCCCACGCGCCTGCAATGGGTGGTGAGGCCCATGCAGCAGGAGGCCGTACTGAGAGTAGATTGAGCCACCGGTATGGAGTTGTGGATCTTTGATCTTCCACAAAGCTGCTCGTGGTCCACCCTAAATCGCATACACTGCACAAAGCACGGCAGCAGATGCGGACACCTGATGCACAAATTGGGAAATGTGGAACTATCCGGTAGCAGTGTGCGACTGTGGTCATCCAGAACAAGCCGTAAGAACTCATGACGGCGCAATGCCCCGATCCGCACACGCGAAAGCGGTTCATCTGGGTCGACCACCCG